CATATATATATATATATATATATATATATATATATATATATATATATGTTCATACTAACTAGCTTGACGATTTGCAACTATTGAGTGTATCTACAGCACTATGAAGGTTTGTTGATGTTTTAAGGCGATATATAATCAATGCATGTAATAAGAACCACTGCTCTGTCAATGCAGTGTACGCGTTGCGTTGTGGTGGGAGTACACCCCATTGAAACAAAACCAAATTCGGCTTTGGAAAACAATACTAGCCACACCCTTTCACTGTCAGTGGAGGCTTGATAGAGGTGTATGAGGGCCCTGTATACACAGGGTGTTCAGAAAAGAACCCAGCAGTATAACGTCTGTTTAGCCAGCTCCTCATTTCCCTCGTGGCTATGTGTGTACGCATGCATGTATCCATGCTTGCATGCATGCATGCATGCATCCCTTATTGTCTCCTCGTTCGCGTTTACATTCTACACGGCATTCCATCGGTCCGACGAAGAAAGCAAGGTAGTGTGTATGTGTAAGCAGCCAAGTCAGCTACACTGAACTGCTACTACGACAGGAGACATGAAATAAAACATAAATATAAATTAAGATGAAGCTCTGGAGTTATTATTACGACAAATGGGAATTTCATCATCTTGTGTTGTGTTATCATTTTCTACTTCTCGTGTCTCCTGTATTCCTTGCTCTTCTCCGGCTGTCTCCGCAACAACATTCTCAACGGCCTCTGGCTCTGGCTCAGCAGAAACTTCTTCTTGAGGGCTGTTGGAGTCTTGAGGGGGCTCAGCAACAGCTTCTTGTTGAGGGCTGCTGGAGTCCTTAGGGGGCTCAGCAGCAGCTTCTTGTTCAGGCTTGTTCGAGTCCTGAGAGGGGGTCTTGGTCTCTTGGTCAGTAGAGGTTTCAGAGGCTTTGTTCTGCTGATCCTCCGTAGATTGCTGAGATGCATTGGCTGCTCTAGACTGAGCTGTCACCGCGTCTGTGATGAGTTTACGAATCTCCGTGATTCTTTGCTCCATCTGGTTCCTGTATCTTGCTTGCAACAACTGGAATAGACGTATACGTGGTTGTATATCTTCTTCTGCATCACCATTGCCATCTGCTCCACTCTGTGTATTTGCATTGGCTCCTCTTTGGTATGCATTACGCCTGGTGGGTCCACGATATCTCGCCCTGTGTTCTCTGAGTAGATCAGCAACGTGTTGTGTTACCTGTTGAGTGAAAATACTCAAATAGAACACCAAATGCGTGTAAAGGACTTCATCCGTTGTCATCCCTAATACTCTTCCTTGTGAAAGAACAAATTCTTCATAAGATTCCCAACGTCCTTCTCCCAAGTATCTCAATATAGAATTTCTTACAAGCTCCTCCATGGCGGGGTTGTAACGCAGAGATAAAGGAATTGTAGAATTTTGTGCTACCTCTGGTTGATCTGTAGACTGTACTCGGGGATCAACAGATCTCAGTGCTCTATATAAATCCTCTAATGCTTCTGAGATATATCCATTCGATGAACTCTGAGGAGGAGGAGGTGGTGCAGAGCTGGGCCCGCTTCCTCCTGTCTGTTCCCTTGGGGTGCGAAAGCGTATGGCGTTTAGGTCTAGGATTGGTAGGCCTTCAAAGGCTGAGAAGAAACGTGAACATATACACAACAAAATACATACAGATGAAAAAGATAGAACAAGCTGAACGTTTGTGGGGGATATTATCTACTACTAATACTACAACCAAAGAATACACTCAACACCAAGAAACGAAAAAAAGAATGCGAAAAGAACTAACCTGCGTCTTCATCATTTACAGGACGAGATACAACAGGTGGCCTTGGGGCCTCTGTTGCCGATGCGTTCGCTTCGGTTCTCGTGGTTTCCTGAGCTTCATTTGTTTTTGGGGGTGAAGAGCTGGACGATGAAGTTGCTTTCTCCTGCTGCACTTTGTTGCTCTCTGCTGCAGCAGCCTGCTGCTCCTCCTCCTTTTCTTGTTTCTTCTCGGGAAGATTATTCTCTTCCTTCTTCTCTCCTGCAGGCTGAGCATTTGCTGCCGCTTGCCGTTTCTTCTTATCCTTCTTTTGCTGCTTTCCTCCCTTCTTTTCCTTCTCTTGCAGCTTCTCTTCTTGCTTCTCTTCCTTTTTCTGCTGCTTCTCTTCTTGCTTCTCTTCCTTTTTCTGAAGCTTCTCCTCTGGCTTCTCTTCCTTTTTCTGCTGCTTCTCCTCTGGCTTCTCTTCCTTTTTCTGCAACTCCTCCTCTGGCTGCTCTTCCTTCTTTTGCAACTTCTCCTCTTGCTGCTCTTCTTTCTGCTGCGGCTTCTCTTCTTGCTGCTCTTCCTTGTGCTGCAGCTTTTCGTTTTGCTCTTCTTCCTTCTTCTGCCGCTCTTCTTCTTGCTTTTTCTCTCGCTTCTGTTTTTCCTCTTCCTCTCGCTTCTCTCGAGCTTCACGTTCGTCTTTGCGTCTGCATTGTTCCCTTATCACGAAGATCTGGTGCCTCAGCTTTGCAGACATACGCCTCCACACAGCTCTTGCGAACTGCGATTCATCCATCACACAGCAACACATATAGATAATATAAAAATCTATCGATATATGCAATTCAGATACAAAAAAAAAGTAGAGCAATATAGAACAGCACGATAGAATATATTAATTTATATATAATAGCTCATTGCTCTGTATATCATATAGAGTTGTATCTCACCTCAACATCATCCCGGAAAATATGAAGGGGAACTCCGTTGGCGTTGACAGGGGTTCGAAAGTGTATGACGCTGTTCTGTGGGCGGTCGTTGCTTATGCCCCCGGGGATGATCAAGGGTGAACCAGACATAACACCTCTGGGTCGGTTGTAGCCGTGGTGACCCCTTCCTCCTTGAGATTGATGCTGGCAAGGAATATGCTCCATCATTTCTTCGTAGCTCTTGCCTGATGCAAACTTATCATTGTGTTCACAAATTTTTTCGAGCTGCTCCAGAAGTGCATCATGCTCTTCTTTTACTCTCTGGCGAGCCTTGTCCAGCTGCTGCTTGTGATGATCCTCCATTCCATAGGGAATCCACAAACCGGAGCCGTCATAGAAACCAAGAGGGCTAGGATCAGGCACCCATGACGGGGTGTCATCGTCCTTGTCACCACTTGAGCTGCTGCCGTTGTTTTCATTTGAGTTGCCGCCATTGCTGTCAGTTGGCTTGTTTTCTCTGTTTTCACCTGAGCTGCCACCGTTGTTGTTGGTGTTGGATTGCTGCTCGTTGTTGCCGTCGTTGGCTTTCCTCTCGTTGTTGCCGTCGTTGGCTTTCTTCTCGTTGTTGCCGTCGTTGGCTTTCCTCTCGTTGTTGCCGTCGTTGGCTTTCCTCTCGTTGTTGCCGTCGTTGGCTTTCCTCTCGTTGTTGCCGTCGTTGGCTTTCTTCTCGTTTTTGCCGTCGTTGGCTTTCTTCTCTTTTTTTCCGTCTTTGGCTTTCTTCTCATCGTCGCTGTCGTCGCCATTCTCATCTTTGTTGTTGGCTTTGGCTTGCTGCCGCCTCTGACGCTCCTCCTGCATTCTCTTCTGCTTCTTCTGCAGCTCCCCGAGATACTCATGTTGTTTCCTCAGTAAGTTTATGCGTTGCTCGATGAACTTGGGGTGTTGCCACCTTCCTTGGTGACGGTTGACAACATCTTGGTGCTCCTGCAGCGCTCGGAGCTGCTGCTCGAGACACACGTGCTGCATCTCGAGCTGGCTCGCGTCAGGGAACCGTGGTCGCTGCCAGCGCCTCTGGTAATAAGGGGCTGGGTTCCGGTTGTTCGGCTGTACAGGCTGCTCCAAGTATGCTTGCCTCTGATCCACATAAGCTTGATCTTGTCTCAGATTTCTCCACTGCTGCTCCAGCAGGGCTCGCCGCATCTGCATATCCCGACGGAGCAACTCATCATCAGCTTCGCTGGACTTCTGAGAGCCACTCTTCTCCTCACTGCCATCCCTTGATGCATCCGAGGCCCGCCTGGCTCGCTGGGATTCTAGCCGCTCGTTCAGCTGCTGCTGCTGTAGCTCCAAGATCCTCGCTTGAGTCTCCAGGTGCTCTTCTCTCTTTCTCAGATGCGTTCGCTGCTGAGCAAAGGACTGAGACATTCCTGGCCTAAGCCCTCTAGGCTGGCTAGCATCATGGGGCTGTTTCCTTTGCGGTATCTTCGGTTTTGGCTCCCCATTTGGGGTGTCATTGGTTTCTTGCTGCTTCTTTTTTTGTCCACCTTCTCCAGCTTGTTCGCGTTCCTTCTGTTTTTTATCCGCCTGCTCCTTCTTTTCTCTCCTTTCCTCAGCTCTTTGCTCAGCTCGCTGCTGCTGTATTTGCGTGACGCGGTCGTCAAGATCTCTCAAAAGCTGCAACTCGAAACGGCGCGGCTCGTGGGTATGCAGCGGACGTCTAAACGGGTCGTATGGGATAGAATGCTGGGGGGCCTGCACAGAAAGGATGAGCAGACAACATGAAAAGAAACACTTGATGAGTGCTGCAACTTATCCATATTGTGGTTAACTCCACGAACAGAACAGAATAAACAGAATAAGTGAAAAACACTTAGAAGTGAGGGAAACGAGATGGCAGAGAGTCAACATGAATTTATTGTTATGTAGGAGGCAATCTAGAGGGCACTACAGCATATATATATATATATATATATATATATATATATATATATATATATATATATATATATATATATATATATGTAAGTCATTCAATAGTTTATAAGCTTACGGAAGCGTGAGGTGGCAGTGGGGGTGGTGGGGGGACTTCATGGGGACCCTGGCAGCATGTGTTTCTCTGCAAACAAAAACAGGCGGAGGAAAGGAAGGAGAAAAATAAGCTTGAAAGCTAGCTAGCTATTTAGGTGGCTAGCTAGCTAGCTAGCTAGCTAGCTAGTTAGCTAGCTAGGTACTTGAGAAGGGATATTTCTTCATTGGATGTGGCCTCGTCTAGCTTACCGTAGGGAGATGAGGGTAAAGGTAAGGGCCCTCATACTTGTCCCAGTCTCGCGAGATATTTATTCTGGGCTTGCGCAGTTCGTTGGGGTCTTCCTGTTCTTTCTCAGCCTCGCCCTCGCTGGGCTTAGCCTGAGCCTGCTGCTCTGACTGCTCCTGCTGCTGCTCAGGTTGCTGTTCAGGCGTTTGTTGCGATTCGTTTTCTTCGCGGGGTTGCTGCGGCGTCTCTGGCTGTTCTTTTGATTTCTTTTTTGGCTGTGGCTGTTCCTGGGATTGTTGTTCCTGGGACTGTCCTTGTGTTTGCTTTTGTTTCTGTGTTTGTGGTTGTGTTTGCTGGTTTGCCTGTGGTTGCTGCCGTGATTGCTCGTGTTGGTGCATGTACTGGTGCTGCCGTGAGTGCTGCGGTGTGTACTGGTATTGCCGTGGGTGCGGCTGTACTATGTACTGGCGTGGCTGTGGTTGCTGCTGTGATTGCTGACGTGCATGTGGTTGCTGATATGATTGCTGGCGTGGCTGTGGTTGCTGATATGATTGCTGGCGTGGCTGTGAGTGCGGATATGATTGCTGGCGTTGTGGGTAGTGCTGTGCCTGTTGGCGTTGCTGTGATTGTCTGTGCTGCTGCGTGTTGTATTGTTGGTGTGTGTTGTGTGGTTGCTGCGTATTCTGTGGTTGCTGCGCGTTGTGTGGTTGCTGCGTGTTGTGTGGTTGCTGCGTGTTGTGTGGTGAGTGTGTGCTGTGTTGTTGCTGTGCTTGCTGTTGCTGTATTAGTTGATGAGGGAACTGCCCAGGAATTTGGTTTATATTCCAGACGTTTTGCCTGCCATTGAGATAAGCCCCTCTCCCGCGACCGTTAGTCAAACCCCTTGTCCTTTGCGGGTGGTTGACGTTGTTATGGTTAGTATGGTTATGATAGTCTGGGTTTGAGAGGAGAGATGCCTCATTCACAACAGGCCGGCGGGGATACACCCGGGCTCCACGTCCTCCGCGTACTAGTAGATAGTAAGGTCCACCGGGGTAGGGTTCCGTTTGGACTTCAGTATCATTGCTGTAGCGGGCGGGGGGGGCCTCGCAAAGGGGGGGTCTTGGGGGACGAGAAGAAGAGTCTCCTTGCTCTCTTCTTGTTGTCTCCTCGCAACCAGACGCAGGAGAAACTTCCCTCTCAGCCTCGGCTGGAGTGGCTTCGGCTGCTTCGGCTGGGCTATTTGCCTCAGTCTCTCTCTCCTCCTCCGTAGCAGTTGCAGCCGGTGTCGTCTCCGGCGCAGCAGCAGGAGTCTCCGTGGAGGCTTCTGCTGGTGCAGGTGCAGGGGCTGTCTCCTCACTGCTTCCTTGCTCTTGCTGAGTCGCCTGAGCTTCCCCGTCTTCTGCAGCTCTCGCTGCATCTTCCGCAGCCCTCATCGCATCTGCTGCGGCCCAGAGACGTTGTTGGGTTACGACTCTAGCAGCGTTCGCAGAGGTCTCTGTAAGAACATGAAGGACAAAGCACGAACTTGTGTATAATATAGACTTGTTCTACTACATACATATGCCGGTAGAACGGCTGGCTAGCTACATGTTTCTCAGCATTTCCTACTAAGACTAGTAGGGGCATCTGTAGACATGAAACTGAAGTAGCAGCGAGCTCTCGCTTGAGCTTAGCTACTGTATCTATCTTCTCACCACAGGGACGCGTAGGTGTTGGGGGGGGTGCAGGGCACTGAGGAGGAGGAGTTCCGGGTTGCTCCACAATCTCATTTTCAGTTGGTAAGCCGCAGCTCACAAAGGCTGATACAGCCAAGGCAACGACGAACAGTGCCAGAACCGCCTTGCGGAGGCTCTTTACTCTGAAGATAGAAAGAAACGAAGGGAGAAGGAAATGTATTCAAACGCTGCATCGATAGTGGGCGAGGCGAGGACTGGCCTCGTAGTGCAGTGTAGTGGTGGTGTGGTGAGCTGGCAAAGGTCCTCGGCCTAGAGGGTTATTCTCTCGTGTGTGAGGCTCTTTTTGGGTTGAATGAACTCGTGTACTGATAAAGAACATAATCTATGTGTCATCTATGTGTTAGAAGAGGTAAAGTGATGAGGCCGAGCTCTTGCTCGGTGCTTGGGCTCTAGCGAGCTAGTTCGGTGACGTGATGAGATGGAGGTAGGTAGGATTGACTGTGTTTGTTCTTGTGCTTGTGAGCTCTAATGTAGCACTACTCTGACCTAAATGTAGCATTGGTTGTGTGTATATGTGTTGTGGTTTTCATCTTTCTCAAAAAGAGAGAAGGAAGAGGCTCTAAACTTACCGATTGGTCGAGCATAAGGTGAAGTTGATCATCTTAGTAAAGTTGATCATCTTGAGAGTTTGATAGTTTGCACTTGGTGAGAGTGCAACAGAGTTGTATTGAGTCCACTTTATCTTCAACGAGTAAAAAGTTGTATTCGATGAAAATCTTTAACGCGTAGAAAATGTCGATTGCGATTGCGTTAGAGATATAAAGTAAAAGTGGACGAAGATGAATCAAAGAAAACACATGAACAGCAAGCGCCAGCGAGCGGTGACTCGCGGGCGACGCGGTGACCTCCAGTTAGCTATGGCTGCGGTGGCTTGCTGTCTGAGCTTGGAGCTCTGGCTCTATAAGTACATCAAAAGAAGCAATTTAAGTTGTTTTTATTGAAAAATTTTGATATTTTACACATTTCTGAAGGAATTAATGGCTTATTTTCTCGATTTTCACCCCAAATTGCCTCATCGACCCTCCCTGGTGGTCACCTGTGGACCACCCGCCAGTGTCTCGCCCGCCAGCCATCGGTTGAGCGGCAGATTCATTCTTTTTTTATGTTCATTAATTTTGTAAAATATATTTTAAAACATATTCCGAATATATAAATAAGGTTTTTCATGCACTTGTTGGCCCCTTTTATGGTCCTTTTTTGGCGAAACGCTCGACATTCCGGAGTGACCGCGGCACGCTCCGAGGTCCTCACCGCGGCCGAAGGTCCTGTCGGCCTCCTATTGTGCATTTTTTTCGGCATTTTTATCAGCAACACCACCGATATATCCACTTAAAACTCCGAATATGTGATCTTCTCTTTGTAACGAGGGGTCACACGTGCGGTCAAGCCGGTGCATCGAGGTAAGCATCGAGCCAGGCCGGGGCCGACGGCCTGCAGCGTGCTGGTGTCGCGACAACACAGAGACGAGAAGAAGCAGAACCCTTTTACACAGACTAAAACCTGAGTATTTACATTTAGTAGAGTTGGTAGGACAAGGAGATGCACAACTGCATGCATTTAACTCGCTGAGCCGGTAACTGAGGGCCCAGGTCGGCCTGCTCACCCCCAGCTGGAGACATAGAAAGAGACTAAGACGACACACTACACATACCTAGAAGCATCTATGAGTCCTAGAACACGTCTATCTGTAAGAAAAACAAACAGAACAAACAACAGTAAGAACAAACAGGTGAGCAATACCCTATCCACAGCTCAGACGAGCCATAAAGGAAAACTACATAGAGTTTACTTACACTACTGAGAGGCTATAAGCCCAGCCCTAGTGACAGCTGAATAAATAAAGAGAGACAAATAGAATATAAAGATACGTTACTGCTCCTCGGCTGCGAGGCCTCTCGTCTCGATACAAACTCCCCCGTTGCCTGGGGCCCCAGCCAGTCCCTTCTTTGTCCCTCTGTTAGTTGCTGTAGTTGAGTAGAATTTGTTTGCTCGTCTCTCCAAACAAATGTTTTTTTTTCTGGTTTTATTATTTTGTTCTTTTTCTTTTTCTTTTTCTCCTTGCTATTGATATTGTTCCCCTTCTTGTCTTACTCTTGTTCTGGTTTTTGTTGCTGTTCCTCTTTTTATAGTTTTTATCGTTGTTGTTGTTTTTTTTCTTCTTGAGCCTTGTGGCCGCTCTACCTTCACTCTTCGAGCAGAGATATACGTGAGGGGGAGCCTCTTCAGTCTCCGCCTGAGCTGTGTCTCTGTCTCTGTCTCTGTCTCTGTCTCTGTGTGGAGACACAAGCAAGTGCTTAACTAACAGAACCACCACTTTGTCTCCTTTCCTATGCTCTAGGAGACACTGTCTCCTCCTTCAGCACCCTGTGTGGGGTGTAAGCATTCATATACACACGGGGGGGACGGCATATAGTTTACTAATCATAAGTAGAAGTTTAGGGCCCCATAGAGATATCAACAAACAAAAGGTCGATGGTATGTGTGGTATGAAGAGAAGTGAAATGGGGTGTATATACACCCGGTGTAGTGTCTCTACACACTTTCTAATGCATCTACTGCGGGGACAATATAAATTTATGTATAAATAAAGAGACAGAGTGTCTCCTTAGCAGCCACAGAGAGAAACACAGCAGGAAGAAGCACTGCTAGACAGCATACACTGTCTCCATCGGCTTAACGGAGTGTCTCCTCTCCTCTCCTCACCTTATAGCTGCATTCGTACTCAAGGACTTGAGTACACAGGCCCACCAGGTGTATGTGCACCTCATTCATTGTCTTCTCTGGCATTTGCTCGTCTAGGGTTTAGCGTTTAGGGTTTAGGGTTTAGGGTTTAGGCTACAGGCTCGTGTTGTGAGCGGGTGTTTGCTCAGCCTGAGTATATTTTATGTTTCTGTTTCTCTTTAAAAAAGTTTTATATAAAAGCGGAACGAGATAGCAGTACGTGAGTGAAACTAAGAAGGTTCAGTTGGCCCTGTATGCTCTCCGGTGTAGAAGGAGACAGGAGGAGGAGACAGCTGCGTGGGGTTGAGGCCTCTTGCAGGCACTCAGCAGCAAGGCAGGAGACAGGGGGGCCCGGGTGGGGGGGGAGGGGGGGNAATGATATTCCCTCTTATGTAGAGGAGAGAGAGAGCCTATTTATAAACAAAAACAAAAACAAAAAAAAAAGTAAGAAAGGAGACACTTTACTTCTACTGTCTCCGTTCGGAGTCAAAATGTAGGAGAAGGTCAAGGAGGAAGAAAGGGGACAGAGAGAAAGAAAGAAAAAAACAAAGAAGAGGCACAACGGGGATGATAAGGAGACAGAAGGAGACAGGAGGAGACAGTAGGAGACTGTAGAAGTATAGAGGAGACAAACAAAAGCCGATAGACAGAGAGACAAAAAAAAAGAAAAAACAAAATAACATAAAATAAAGAGACATACATAAAGACAAGAGGAGACACAGGGACAGCATAAGGAGACAGAACCAAGACAAAAAAAAAAAAAAAAAAAACA